TTATACTTCCCAGCAAACTAGAGCGAACTAGACCGATAATTCTCGCTACCATACTCAACACTCCATTTTCTTTGCGTGAATATCATTTCAAAGCGAGGCGCGCAACCAGTCAACCCTTCAGTACTACCCTGTAGTTAAGTGAAATGAGTCGGTCGATAGTGACAGATCCCTCCCTAGCCTCCGGCACATCGCTGAGGTTATTGAACTGACCACACTAGATATGAACGCTTTGTGTGATAACACTTACTGGGCCTTCCTCTTCATCCAGTTCATCATAGACATGCGTACCATCATCGAGAGTATACGTGGTACAAGCAGCTGGATGACCCACGACAAACCGATACCTAGTCCAGCAGTCATGGCCGAGCCCCTCTCCTCAGCCTACTGGTGGATCTCAGGTTCGGTGACATCTATGAAAGTGTCCGTGCTACGAGCACAAACGTACTGCACCTGGCCAGGAAAATTCTCACTCAGGATCGACGTTCTCAACCTGACACTGGCTGTCCGGTTAGCTGCTCCCTCCTCGTACCGTTCCTCAATAGTACCATTGCTGAGGACTCGCCTACTACCTCCAACGAAGCTACCTATACATGACCATCTACCGAGTGAGCGTGTGGAGGGAACTCACCAATCAGCGTCTTAGGAACATGCGCCAGGCTGATTGTAGTTCCATCAACTCTAAACTGCGAGACCTCCTTCCCAGGGCACAGCTCATACGACCAATAGTCACTCGGCAAACGATACTAAGGTCGAAATCGGTGTTGAATGCATCCCAAAGACTTACCCGCCGACATCGTGGTGAGATACCCATCGACTTAGCCTTGACAACCTGAAAAAGTTCAGTCTAGAATCGGTCGTCACACAGAATTGTACGAGATCATTTCCACCACTCGTAGAACCCCGGGCAGTTTTGTCATTAGGCATGCTGCACGAGAACATGTGGCCTCCCGGAAACTTTATCCGGGTGGCATCAGCATCCTCAACCTCAGCTCGACTAAAGTTCAGCTTGACCTAAAGGAGAGCGTGCCGTGAACTCCACTGTAAGGAGAGACCCCTAGTGAGGCTACCACAAAGTCATGTAGTAGGTCGGCATAGAGAGGAGCACTAGAGACTATGGGAAGGAGGAGGAGGAGGTATAGCATCGAATGGCCAAGAAGAGACTGAGGCAGACCTTTGCCGACAGTTGTACGAGAATAGTCGATGATGCAGGTAGTATGCTTTGTAAAGGGCATATCGCCAGTAGTGGGGCCCTATTGGCCCTATGGTAAATCGATTAGGGAGGGGCAGCTATGCCACAACTCCAAGATAAACTGGGTAAAATCAATTCCCTCTCGGTAGGGGCGGCTATGCCACATCTCCAAGATATGACTGGGTA